TTCTTCTTTCTCTTACTACCACCGATTCTTATTACATATTTCTCATAATTCTTTGCGATATTTAGAACAAGAAATCATATTATTTAGATTTAAATAATTATAATCTGGTTTATGAAAATATTTTATGCTTTGCATGCGTGAGTATGTTATTATATTTTTAATTAATGTATGGAGTATCTCTAAAGTCTGTTTGCATCCCCTGTATTTTTGAAACAACTGAAAATATGTCGAAAAACACTGAAAAAAAGATGATGTTACATTAACAGCATTATCCTAATTGAAAGTAATCTTGATTCGCAATAATGATATTGACGAAATAAATATAATTTTAAAACAAAAACATATTAATAGTGTTATTGAAATAACAAAATTATTTTCAATTAAAATAATTGCTGGTGATATAACTTTTTTTTAGTACATGTTCCTTCATTTATCTCTGAATAAAATTTTTAATTAAATCTTTTAATTAACAATCTTTTAAATGAGATCTCACTTGATTTTTTTGCCATTAAAATTTTTCAAATTATTTTCCGTCCATCTTTCTCGAAAAGCTGAAAGAAAATAAAAAGAAAAATTTTTGTTTTAAATAAAAGAAAAAAAAACGTTATTTCTTAAACTTATTTTGTTAATAACTTTTAAACAGATAATGATCGACGGCTAAAATCGGAGGTTACTCAAAATCATGACCTTGACAACATATATCAAGATCAAGATCATCGGAGAGGGATCCTCTATTCTATATAAATTACCTTCAGACATAATAAAACTACTAATAGAATCATGAAATTTTTATATTTTTAGCAATGCTTTAAAGTATGACACATATATTCTTAATTCTAAATTAAAATTACGCTGAGTTGTTTTGCGAGAAACATTATTTAGTCAAGAGATAAAGATACAAGCAAAATATTCTCTCGATCGTGAATCAATTCCTGAAACAGTTTCATTGCTTGCTCTTTCACTCTCTTATTCTACTGAGTGGAACACACACGCACACAAACGGGGTAAGAGAAGGACGGAGCAGACGCCCCACTCGTAAATAACTACCCCACATTATCGACTTATTGTTTGAAAACGACGAGATACAAGCAGAAATGCGAAAATGCGTACACGATGTCGTTCGTGTATTTGATAAGGCGAGTTTTTAATTCATTAATCAAGCGCATTATGCGCAAGTGTAACTTTTACGGAACAAAATTGCATTTGTATAATTTGATTTTAATCGAATTCAATTAAAAAATCTATACTCGCAGACCATATATATATATATATACATCTCATTCGCGTTCAATACTTCCGCGATTCTCGACGCGAAGAATACAGGAACGATAGTTAAGTTCGAATCACATTGCACGTTGCAGATATGGATTAGAATGTTTAACGAACAAGCTAGCGTTATTTATCATCATTTTGATAAAACAACGTCTTTAACGTTAAAGTAATGTCAAAATAATAACAAATAACATGAGCTTGTTTACTCTAATCAGCGTAGAAACTCTAATCAGAGTTAAGACACGAAATAAACCTTTTGATTGGTCTGCTAGGTTTAACAACTTCTGAATGAGAGAAAGAGATAAAAATATAAAATAGAAAAGGAAAGAGAGAAGATAGTAAATGTAAGAGATCCTCTAATAAGAGTTTGGACACAAAGCAAACTCTTTTAATTGGTCTGCAATGTTTCAACACTTCTGAAAGAAAGAAAGGAGAGAGAGAGAGAGAGAGAGAGAGAGAGAGAGAGAGAGAGAAAGATAAGAAAAAGACTACATTTACACGGTTCCCTTAATTGGATTTAATAACGTCCGTAGTTATGAAATTGGCCAATCACAGTCGTTCCGAGGAACAGCTGTGATTGGCCAATTAAGCGCGCCGTGTAAATGTAGTCATAGATAGAAAGAAAAAGAAAAACTAATAGCATGTTATATGTTCTTCTCTCGTATGATTTTGTTATAAAACTAGAGACTCTATATACAAAACGTGATTCTTGTCCAAACTATTGTCAGAGGATCTCTAGTAAATGTATCTTTCTCTTTTGCTCGATTTTGTTAACATTACAGATTCTGTTTCAAAAACACTGCTTGTGTCCAGACAAAAAAATCAACGCTTCAGATTGGTTGTCGCAATAAACTTGCAATCGGCTTGCGTCTAATGTAGAATGGGCTTTATGTAGATCGGGCTTAGGACGCGAACCGCAGATCGTAAGCTTGTTGCGTCAATCAATCTGATGAGTCAATTTTAAAAGTGTCTCGCTTCGAGATTGGCTGACGCAAGAAATTTACGACCTGCGACTCACGTTCTGCATCTTATGTAGATCAGGCTTTATGTAGATCGAGCTTTATACATGATAAAAAGTTACGCGGCGGCAACATAACGATACCGAATTGTCGTTAAGAATAACAGAATCGAGATATAGAATCAACAAATCTCGGACAACACGATATGTTAGATCAATCGATATATCGATTTTAATTCTCCAACATGCAACTGTTGCGGCGCGGCGTTGTTCGCATTTCATTCATGCGCGACTTCACGATCCACGCGGGTTGTTCTTGGTGATGAGTGTACACTTCGAATTGTATCAATTGATGTCAATTGAGTGCTTCCGACAATTTGAGCGACTGTGAATATAGGTAAGAGGCTTCTCCTTGGCTTCTTTTTTGTTTTCTCGAGATAAAATTCAATAGATTTAAGCTTAAAATGAAGGTCTCTCTTTTTCTTTCCGAAACGGAAAGGAGCCACGGTCGTGGCTCCTCTCGGCAATAAAATTAAAGCTCTTCGCTTATCAATTTGTTGAGTACTTATGTCGTTTCTGTGTTTCGTCAATCTTCAACGTCACCTTAGATCTGTTCGCGTCGCATGCTCCAACATGTTCCTACTTCCTCCAACCATAGTTCTTACTCATTCAAATGCCCTTGTTGGCAGGAACATGTTGAAACATGTTGGAGCATGCGACGCGATAAACCTATTATCTATACATTGTGATCCAACGCTTGTGAGCATCATTTGTCTATGTTTATCAAACGATGATCAAGAATAAAATCAATTGAAATGACTTCAAGAGCATTGTAAGCATAAATCGGACTACAGCCATATCTTCTATCTTTACCTAATTCTGTCTATCAGTGTAAATACACAAAAAATACAAGGCACTAAAGCCAGAAACATTTGAAATATATTCTTTTTAATTGAATTTCTTACACAGTTTATTTATCCTCCTTTACTAGATTTTTAATCGGTTAAGTTTAAACATTTTATTTTTTTCTAACTTTATATGTAATTATACAAATATTACTAATACATACTAAGGTTCAAAAATTTTCAACCAAAGATATAAAAAGAGAATAAAATGAAACAATTATTTTTCTATGTTTCAATGTATATAATTATCCTTTATTTAAATATATCTTTTTAGAATGATGAATTAATTTTTATATCTATATTTTTATATTTATATCGCTAAAAAAATATTTTGAATATTTTTGTCTTTAAAAATATTTAACACTGTGGAGATCCTTCGTCACAGGTAAATTTTTTTCACGCAAACCACAGAATTCCAAACCGCTAAGGGCTAAGTCGGAAAGCTGATATGAAGACGTGATCTCCATAATATTAAATCCGAAATTAAAGTACAAAAATTCAGAATATTTTTTTGGTGGTATGATAAAATTAATTTATCGTTGAAAAACATGCTTTAAAGGTATTATAGAAATAGAGGATAATTATATTGAAAAATAAAATGATTGTTCTATTTGATTATTTTTTTATCTTTGAGAGCCGAAAATCTTTAAACTTTATAATGTAAAAATGACGCACGGATAATGTTATCTAATTGTACCAATGAGTTTAAGAAACAATATGCAATTTGGGATAAATTGCACTTGGAATAAATTTGCGCATTGTTTTTCTTTATTTAGTTATTTAGTTAGTTAAATATTATATTTTATATTTTTATGAACGAATTCAATTATTCACGATACAAAATATGATTTCGCTGAAATATTTAAAAATTTAGTTACAGATCTAAAAACATTTTTGTTGGACCGTCAAAAGAATTATATAAGATATTCAAATTTGATGAGCAATGCTACAAAAAATTCTAACATGTTAATAATTAGCTAAATAACGCTTGATATATATACTTATCTTATATATAATATATATAGTTATCTTAATAGTTTAACAAAATTATTTTTAGATCTATGATTAAATTTTTAGATATGTACTTTAAGGAAATCGTTCTTTCCGTGTAGCGGTCCACTTTTCACGGTGTATCTATGCATGATTAAAAATTACATATATCACGATATATTAAAATGAGGGAATCAGTATTTTTTTACATTGGATCGAATTGATTTGAATTTTATTTCTTTATTCGAATCAAATCGAATCATTGAAACGTAACGTGTCATTAATTATTGTTAGGTTGAATTTTAATATATAAAAAAAATTACTATATGAAAAATAATAATTATATGATATGAAATCATTTTAAATATCATGTATTTAAATATTTAATAATAACTGATAAAATATAGGTATTATATTTACAGTTTTAACAATAAAATCACAAGCATGTAAAAAATTATAAATAAAACAGCGGTTAAAATTAATGGCCAATACAAATCTAGTGCACAATTACGTATGATTAACCAAAAATTGGGCATCGGAAAAGTAACTCAATAGAAATCAAAACTGATTTTGAAATTCATAATTAATTATGATTATAATTATATATAATTAAAATTATGTATATTTTAAAATTTCATTAACTTTAATAAAACATTTCTTACTTCAATGAAATGGTTGCACTATTTTACTATTATTAGTAGAAGGAAATATGATTTTATAAAATTGTGAATATATATGGTTCGTATTCATTGTCTTAGATTCGAAATTTTTGAATAGTTCAAATTCGAATCATATAGATCGAATTTGATTCGATTTGATTCGTATTAGAATAGTTCGCTACAATATATAATACAACGATTATTCTTCTGTTATAGGAACGCATGATTGTCAAAGATCTATAACTTGTACTAATGTACTACATGACGAGTCGTTTGCATGACGATGGAATTACGTACGAAACAGACGTTTGTACGTTCGTATAGGATTGATGACGCGACAAGACGATGCTACTCGCCAGAATATTATTCGGTAAGTAGTTTTCTTTATTTAACTCGCAATCCGCGGGGTGTAACTTGACCACTAATCAAGTAGAGATTGAAAAATGTGCAATTGGAATCATTCGATAAATACCGGTTAATTAGGACGAAAGACTTTGCGGCATTTTCTTTTATATGTCATTCGTCAAAAACCACATCTGAAAGTGAAAATGCGACACTGGAATGCCATGCAACTTTTCGTTTCGAAAGACACCGGGCGTAAGTGGGATATTAATTTTTTTTTTTTATCGACAACTCTCCGTTGACGAGTTCACAATACGGTTTGAAACGGCGCGCGTCGACGAACAACACGTATATAATAATTGGAGAAACTTGTCAAAAGTTATACCGACTAGCTTCACGCGAATATAACATGTGATTCTTTGATATTACGCGCGACCGCCACCGGCAAACTGCCACTTTTCTGTCTCCGCCCAGCTTTGACGTATAAATAACATGTGGGAACAACCGTGACATCTTTCGCGTGACAATATTGTGATAAACATTGGTAATATATAATATCACATAAAATTTTAAGCAACGTAATGATTTAATCCACGATTTTTAAAAAAAGTTTGCGAATAGCCAGAAATGAAGGTATATCGACATAATATCGTCAAAAATTTATAGAAAGATGATGAATATTTCGCTTTTAAACAATATTTTTACTTCTCCCCAAAGATACGAAGCGACAAAGTGTAATTATTATAGGATACGAAGGTATAATTATTATAGCAATGAGGGGGAGGAAATACAAGAATATAAAATTTTTTTTTATTACCGTTTATTAAGAATCTTTTATATTATTAGAATTAATCTTGTTTATAAGATCAATTGAGTCACTAGATTATTATAATTTGCATTAAAAAATTTTAAGGGTCTCTCTAAAATAAAGTTGCCACCGTCTGGGGTGATTTTCCAAAAATGTCCGGACAATTATAATCAGTAATTATTTGGGACATCTTTAGAAAATTTCTCCGATCGTCCTCGGACGCCATATAAAAGGACGATGTCATCCTGTATAACTTTTTTGCAGCAACAAATTTGTATTTTTTATTTTTTATTTATTTTTGTTTGCATTGCAATTTTACGAGCTATTAAAAAATTGAAAATGAAACGGTTTATGTTAAATATATTATTTAAAAAATATAATAAATGTGTTTCAAAATATTTAAATAAAAATTTCGAAATGCTTTTTCAAATTAGTTGTAACTTCTTGTAACGCAATATTAATAAAATGCGTTGTTTAAAATGTAAATACAATAAACATTCAATTTATGCACTACAAAAAATGTCATTTTTGGATTGTTTAATAATTAAACTACTTTTTAGACAGTTTGAACATTTAGACTTTTGTTTATATTTTTAGTTTCTTTTGGAATGTCAATTTTAAGATATTGAAACATATTTTTCCTTCAAATTTAGTTTTTATTTCACAGAGTTGTGCGTTTTTTTCATGTCTACTGTAAATAATTACAACACTTATATAGAATTTTACAAACATAGATTTTACAATAATATTTTTTGAAAATATTAAAATATATGTAAGTGATGTTTTACTCCATTAAATTTCAAACATAGAAATCATGTTTTACCGTTTAAAATAAAATACATACGATTGAATAGTGTAACATTTTAACGTATAATTCTGTTTGTCGTTCACTTTATTCGCATTGTCCCGCGAGGAACTATCAAAACTCCGAAAATGATCAAAAATGCTTCTTTGCATGAAAAATCCTATTCTTTTATTTTGTTGTAAGTAACGTAGAAACTTTTATGTACTGGGCGCAGTTGTTTTGTGAAGCAATGGTAAATTAAGTTTTACGTTTTTACGCGCGAAGTCAGTATTGTGAATAAAAATGGAGAAAACTACTTTCATTTGCTTAAGACATCTATTATATTCTCATCTTCTTAGTTGACATAAATCAGGACTAAGATTCATTAAACAAAAATATTTGTTTAAAAAGAAAATAATGATTTCAAATGAGTTTCAACGAAATTAGCTTATAACAGTGATTTAGTATATACAGGGTGTCTGGAAATAATCGCCAAATATTTCATGGGCAGGTAGAGAGGATTAAACTGAGTCGAAAAGTCCTGCACCATTTTGCAATTTTCGCAATAGTTATTTTTTCAGAATTTTTTCAGAATTTTTAAATATTTTCTCATGTTAGTAAAAAAGAAAATGCAATACTAAAAAGTTCTGTTATTATCTTCAATAATAAAAAATTCTGAAAAAATTCTTAGAACTTTATGAGAAGAAAATAAATGATTTTTGTCTCTTGTAGCTTTTCTATAAAGTTGATAGTATTTGAGTCAAAAATTATTCAAAACCAATATTTGGCAATTTTTAGTAATTAATATCTTGTTAACTATTGCGAAAATTGCAAAATGGTAGAGGACTTTTCTCATAGAGGACTCAGTTTAGTCCTCTCTACCTGTCCATGAAATATTTCGCGATTATTTCCAGACACCCTATATATATGAGCATATTCCTGAATATTGAATGATAATAATCATTATCGTACACAATATTTATTAATTAATTAGTAAACGTGGAAAATCTTAATAGATGAATCGAAATCGATGAACAGAAATAACTTAGTTTTGAATCAAACCTTCAAGCTTTACATGAAAAGAATAATTTTGCTGAAGTATTTATTTGAAAGTCTAGATAGATATAGACCTGAAATTTCGGATTATCAACATAATTATGTAGAACACTCAAGCAATGCTGTAAAATGGTTTGACAAACTATCTGTAAACCAGTTTCAGTATCTTATATAACATAATTATTTTAATGGTCCAACAAAGCTATTTTTTTTTCAGATCTGTATCTAATTAATTAAATAGATACTCTAGCAAAACCATTTTTTCCGTATTTTTGAAATTACGAAAACCTTAATGAATGTACACATCTTACAAACATAAAACCTGAATACGCACTTGTTTCCGAATAGAGCACGAAACAAAAGAAGGTGTAATTGTCATTCTAGGAGCTGCATACAACATTAGTGTCCAAAGTAGAAAAACGCGTTGGGTAAAGTAATCAGGGATAAAAAACGAGCGCTTTGTTTAAGCTCTCTTTCTAGATTTTCCATTTTCGTACATCGCAACGGTAAAATACTGACCTACTCATGAGTTCAGTCCTGACACTAATTAATATCATGGGTCACCACAGGCTCGCACGTAAAAAAAAAGAGAAGTAAATAAATACGCGGTATATAATTTGTCAAGTATATTTATTTCGTAAATGTGGAAATGACATCCGCAATTGTTGCGATATATTCGATGTTGGACGTTCTACCTTGCATTCGTTTCCAAAATGCAAGAATTTCGTTAAAAAGTTAGAGCAGGAGATCAATCGTGATATATAAATAACGTATTGTACAGAACATATAAATTACACAAACGAAATTGATGATCCGTTACACAAGCGAAGTCGGTAATTTTTAAATTATAACATGAATTTGAGAGAAATAGTAATGATATTAATCAATATTAAATTTTAAAAAAGAATAAAACTATTAAATATTAGTTTGATAAAACATCATCATAGTTGGTTTTTAACAGTATTAAAGCCAATTACCTTTATATAATATGTTATATTATATAATTATTGTCATATAATTATAATATGTAATATAATATATTGTAATTTTTGAATTCAAATACTTAATTTCCATCATATTCGTATATATTTCGTTGAGAATATGAATACATTGCATATAATAAATATCTATATCGGATTGTAAATTTTATGAAATTTTTATACATAATACGATGTATTGCTTCAATTTTTATATATAATACGATGTATTACTTCAATAGAACGAAATAAAGTGACCTTATATTGCTACATCGTGAAGAAAGCGTTTTATCGAATGCAGTAAAAAATGAATTTGTTTCACAGAGAAATTGATTGTTTCGAGTGACATTTTCATGAGATACTTTTAATTAAAAAGTAGAATTCCTTTCAATTTAGAACTCCAATTTCTCAAAATTTACATTTTAATTTTTTTGTTATAGCATATATAATACATTTGCAAGAACAATGTAATTTTTTTAACGCGTGTATATATAGTTATATAATTGCAATAAGAATTGTTGAAATTGTTACATTTAGTAGTTGGCTAATTGATCTTCATAAAAATAAAAGTTTTTCTAATTTTTATCCACGGATTTATAATCAGCGATCCAAAAAACCACTATAAAATATTTTTCATTTAAAACATTCTTTTAAATATATAGTCTAGCTACCGTATTAAATCAGCTATTTAGAAAATCTGACTTCAAATTCGTTATCATATTCAGCAAAACCCCAGGTACAAAATTTTAAATTATTGATCTCATAAAAATGCATGTTTCAAAGCGTATAAGTTGACATTTTAATGAACTTTGATCCCCTATATTTGTTAAATCAATTACAAGTTCAAGTTGAAATTTTTTTATGATTAGTATCTCATTATAAGATATTTTGGCACACAATTCAATTCCAAAATCGCGAGACAAACGGACAAACAAAAACGAACAAACAAACTACTAATTTTAGACTTATTGTTTCTCAATAAATAAGCTAAATACAATCGCTTACAGTATATGTATGTGATAATAGTGACAATGTAGTATGCATTTGTATTATGCTCATTATTTATTCTTAACGGTTATAGCCATTAGCGTTTCAATCTTTCAAACAAGTAACAGACTATGTCTGATTACAAGGCGACATTAACTACTACGTGGGCGATGCAAGCGTCCACTTTTCTACTGTACAGTAGTATAATGCGGTATTATCGGTCATAAGGTGAATCTTACCCAAGAAAATTATACTCAGACAGATGCTTCATAAAAGTCGTTCGTAAATGCGCTTGTATATCAATGCTGCAAAAGTATCGGCAGTGAAAATCGAAGATCCTCGTCATGTTCAACTCGTGGTACATAAAATGGCTTAGGTCGTGGAAATATCCATTGCCGTTAAATAACATAGCATCA